CCCCTTTGAAGCATCCAACAACGCTAGGATCGCATCGTGTATCGCGGTCGGTTCAGTCGGCCGGGCTCAAAGCCTCTCGAACGCGTAACAAGAACTGGAGGTTCAGCTGGGTGGATAATGTTGGCCTAATTCCTGCAGGTGGGATTGAGAGAACCGCATTTATCATGGGGACGAGCTATTCGGGGGTGGCGAACGATCGGACGGACGGATGGGTCAGGGACTCACGACAAAGCGGTCCGTTAACACAGTGAGGTTGTGGCTGGACTGGCAATCCAATGTGGCAAAAGGGACAGCTACTTACGTCAAGCAACTGGATTGCTCCAACACATTGGATGGGCGTGTGGCTGGCAGTCGGAAGATGGGCACGGATCTACAGATGCCAGAATGTGCAATGTACGAGGTTGATATTGACATAGTCTACATTACTACATGCAATCTTCGAAACGTCTATGGCGGCAGATTCTGGGCCGTAACCTCGTTCGCACCTTAGCAACCCAACTTTTTCATATCCAACTTTTCAAGCAAACAATACACTTTTCTGAAAACAAAAGATGAACGCAAAAAGGTTGGGTAGTCAAGGTGCGTCCGAGATTGCGGCCTGTGATTTGCCGTGATAGAAATTTCAAAGGTTGGTAATGCAGAATCGATACCAACCTCATTCCCATTCCATGACGATCGTTGATATTGCTTGGATGGCTAAGTTATATATTGGGTGTTGAAGGCTCGATGTTGGGCATCGACCGTAATCTGTGCTTAAAAAAGAACTGCGCAATAAAGTCACGTGCTTGGCCTGGGATCACGCTTGATTATGTAATCACAGCGTTAAGCCTCTCAAGAGATTGGCACCATTCCTAAAGGAGATGAAGTCCCACCGTTGGATCTAGACCATTTGAGGAAGATGTTGCGGGCCGCGCTAATTGGCTGGTCACTGAAACTCAAGCCCCTGAAGATTAGGTTAACAGCCAAGACTATGCATGGTCGTTGTGATAAACCAACGACGCCTTAACTCAGGGAACACGGGTTGTGAGACTGGTCATGAGCAATGCCTAGCGCTCCCAGATCAACAGCTTGCCAGACTTGCAAGCAGAAAAGAACCAAGGTAGGTGTTTCAGGCCCCTCCACCGCAGTAACACGTCCTCATCACCGCTTGTTCACAGTGCGATAAGAAATGGCCAGCATGCACGCAGTGCACTCGAAAGGGCGTCGAATGCCCGGGGCCTTCGTCCCTGGTCAAGTTCGTAAGAAATGGCCACCACTCTTCTCCCCCTTCGTACAACCAGGCCTTGGCCGAAGGTTCCGAATCTTCCCCATCCTTTCAGCGACGGGTCATGGTCAGCCAAGGCCCGTTGAAGTCGTATCGTGGTGGGAATGGGGTAGAGGGTAGCTTTCGCCTTCAAGTTCCTTGTTCTAAGCTTCAAACTGCCGTGGATACTATTGGATCTCTATTGATTAGTCTTCTGGACACAAGGGGAACCTCAACTTTTGGGACCCTTCACTTTCTAGAGTTCTGTCCTCAGAGGATGTCACAAAGTGCGTGTTTGCGGGATTGCGTAGCGCTCTATTGCCACGCTTGGATCCGGTGCCATCACTACCGTCAACCCGTTTCGGAGGTGCTTGAAAGCAAAATTTATGGTGACGCAATCCGGAGTTTGCGAAAAACAATGAACAGTAATAAACTGTACACGGCTGAGACGCTCGGCGCGATGGTTCTGCTGGAACGATTCATGTACCCTTGCAGACTCTCTAAGCCGAAAGAATTAGTACGCCACCAACTTGGAATCCGGCATGTGATGAAGCAAATTGGCCCTCCAGATCCAGATGACGACCTGCACAGCTGGCTGGTTCGGGGATCAGTCAACACGATGGTGAGTTCCACACATCTTTCTCCACCCTCGTTGACTAACTCGTATCACAGTATCATGTTGCCAAGTATGGCTTTAGTGAAGATTCCACCGAACCCGAACCCGATACACCCAGCAGCGAGGCAACTGGAACATCCCCGTATTGGGGGGATGGCAGCCACTGGGATATAAAGAAAGAAGAAGATGATCATGATTATGAGGATGATAAGCTCGCGACACATGTTGATGATGATGATGGTGATGATGGGGTCATTGACGATGTCAAACAGCCAGATACGTTGATTAAGAGAGGCAGAGCTCTTGTATTGCAGATCGCTCTCCGTCACACCAAGAGCTGGCTGCCAAAGATAAGCGAACTGCGACAGAATCGTTGTGATGTGGAGTGGCAGAAGGCCGCCCTCACTCAAAAGATAGAGAAGCTGGAAATGGCTCTCGGCAATGTATTGAATAAAGCCTGGAAGTCGTGTTTGGCTTCAGGATCTATTATCGAGAGCCTGGATCCCAGCTTCTTCCTCGGCCGCCGGGTCGACTTTGTATCCTTGAAGCTAGCGGATGATCTGTTGAGCATGCTTCTCTACCATGCCATGACCGTACGTATGCTTGGTGTCTTAGGAGACATCAATGGGAATGCGGATGATTCACTCTTGAGCAAGTACAAAAGCATATGCCACCGCTGCTGGTTGTGCTTCCCGTATTTATGTACCGTCGACGCCGTTTTCCAAGCCAGCATGTTCAATAAACTCATGGTGACACTGGAGCCTGCGACTTTGGAAGAGCTTGGTCATTTCCTCGCCTTAGATATGGACTGGACTTCATGTGGCGTGAAGGACCCGAAGGACGTCAAATCGTTCTTCTTTTGGGTCCATGGTATGGCGACGTTCTTCACGGGCCAATCAAACTGTCCAACAGGATATTGACAAGATATACGGACCCCGCGGAAATATCAACTGGAGATAGATATTCGGTGCCCCATGAATTTGATGCTTTGCTTTATTGGGCCGTCATTGCGAAGTAAAGAGTTTCGCTCGGTAAGATTGGGTTCAACGCCAAGTCTCCCTTTGCATCTGCAATAAACAGCAACCTCATCTTCATACTCGCAAATTTCCATTCGTTTATTGCAGATGCAAAGGGAGACTTGGCGTTGAACCCAAAGGCTACAGCCCAATTCATAAGGCAGCATAGCCTTGGAATAATTAGAATAAAATTTCTGGCTACCTGGTCAACTTGCAAGAGTGATGAATGATGCCGCGGATCGAGGCATATTGGCCGGCATGTGGATAGCTGGTATTGTTAAAATGCTGCATGAGGCGGATGGGTCGATAAGACATGCAGGCTCTTCACGTTTGTTGTTCTCACGTTGTTCAACGGCAGAATGGAGCGAAGCCAAGCCTTTTTTTTTCGTCACAGTTTCCAGTCCCATTCCTTCTGCATCATAGGTATCCTCCATTCAGCGGCGTATGAGGGCCATTTCTGCTTCCACTTCTCCAGTCGGGTTAGCAATCCGGATCATGGCTACCGGCGCTTGGCTGGTAAAGTATACGTGGGGCTAAGTGAGAGCGTGGACTCGACTTGAGGAGAGACTCTCAAATAATGAGCGGACAGCACTGAAATTTGAGACTCCGACGCTTGCATTCGGAGAAGGAGATGGAACTGAAGACGCCAGGAATTCATGACATAATTAAGTGGCGAGGCAGATGAATTTTACGGAATAGAAAGCGCTAAGGGATTCGACCAAGGTTCAAGTCTAGAATCAGATTATGAAGAAATGACTTAGCGACGGTACAACAACAAATTGATGTATAGTACCACTACATGCCCGACCGCTTCTACTCATATCGCAAAGGGGTATAAAACATGTTTACCAATGATCTTGAGTGTTCTTGGCAATGTCCAAACTGATCCTTCAACTTGCCATCAACTGAGAAAGCCTTACTCAATCAATCCGATCATCATATCAAGCTGTACCCAAGGAAAAGGGATAGGGGATTGTTCCAACCTAACACTCCCTTGTCTTAGAAGAAATAGGAGTCGTGTTGATGCAAGCCCCGCCACATGGTCTTCCTTGTCTACATGTCATCGTAGGGGTGCAGGTACCCTTTGGCTGGCACGGTCGATTATGCCCAACGATGCATCGAGTGACAGGTATTGAGGTCGGTGTTGCGATGCACGCTCCACCGCAAGGCGAATTGGTAGTGCAAACCATAGTCGGTGTGCAGGTGCTTCCACTTGAACAGGGGGAATTATCGCCAATGGTGCATTCTGTAGGGGCGGCATACGTGGAAATACATTGGCCACCCCAAGGGAGGCCAGAAGTTGAGTATTCAGTCGGCGTACATATGCTGCCCGTTGGGCAAGGGGCGTTGTTGCCGACGGTGCAAGGGATGACGGGTGGGTAGGTTGGAGGGTCAATGCAAAGGCCCCCGCAGGCTGTGCTGGTTTGACAGATCTCCGTTGGAGTACAGAACCACGAGGTTGGGCAAGGAGAGTCGTCTCCCATGGTACATGGCACTGTGTATCTGGGAGGGGGGGGCGTGGTCGTTGCGAAGCTAGAGGTGACTGGAGGGCTGGCGACGACCGTCGAGGCGAGGACGCCTAGGAACGCAACGAGTTGATACATAGTGTATATCTAAGCTATTAGAAATAAAATTCGGAGGGTTGATTCTTACTTCCGTGGAGTAATGTGTGAATTAAATCGAGTGGCGATTGTCTTTCGTGAAGTTGCAACTACGGGACGGAGGCTCTTTTATCGACGACAAAACCGGCCCGTCGGCTTACAACCAAGTCACAACTCACTTGTATGCGGTTGTCGGTGTAGGTAGAAATGTGTTCCAGGATAGGATCCCTGTGGTCGTCACAGTGAATGATGTGGGAAGAAATTCTCGTATTGCTCTGAACCCGTGACGTTTGCGGTTGGGCTGAACAGCAGCTGAAAGTGACCAACCTATCAGATCACCATTCACTTTGCATGGCGTCCGCCTGCATTTCGTATTCACCGCACATACTTGATTTTTGCCCTCTCGCATTCATCGCATTCACGAGATAGTGGCAATGAGTGATTTCCAGCATTGCTAGTAAAGCACAGATGGAAATCCATCACTTTGTATTTAATAATATAGAGATTCTTTTAATAGTTTTATATAATCTTATAATAAAATATATTAGAACTCTATTATAAAAATAATTAATTTATTACTATAGATTATTTAAAGAAAATTATAATAGCTAATTATAAAGTTACTATATATTAATAAAAACTAAATATAGTTTATATAGTAATTTAATATTTATATTCTAAAAATCTAAAATAAAAAATACTACTAGTTAATATAGTAATTATATAGTAGCTAATTTAAAACTTTAGTATATAGATAACTATTATTCTACTAAAGGGATATAATATAGTATACTCTTTAATAGAGTTTAAAATAAAATACTTAGCTATAAATTAAACCTTTAGTTTTAGCTTTAATCTCTAATAATAGTTTATAATCTAGATATTAATTAGTTTATACTACAGATAATCCTATTAACTAGTATATTAAACTAATAATATAATTATTATTTAAAAATAATTAAAAAGTTACTTAGATTAGATTTTATTCATAAAGTTAATATTTATTATATCTCTATAGATAAGTTTATTATCTAATCTTAAATAGCTAATAAGCTAGATAGAACTTATATATAAATATAATAGTAATATAGTATTATAATATTAGCTATTTTTAAAGAAAAGATAGTATAGCTATAGAATTAAATTAGCTATAAAAACTATTAAATTGAAAATTACTTAATTTTCATAGTCTTTTTAAACTATATTAAAAAGAGTTTAAAGAAATTATAAACTAGTTTTATTTCTTTATTAAACTCTAGTATAAATTTATACTTAGAAACTAAGCTAAATAGTTTATTATTTATCTTAATCTTTAAATAAAGAACTACTAGAGATATATTTTCTCTTAGTAGAATTTAATCTTCTATAGATATAAATAAGTAAAGGAACTTCTAGATTTATATATTATTAAAATTCTAATATATTCTATCTCTAGTTCTATTAATAAGAAATTAATAAAATAAAAAATAATAATAAATATACTTTTCTATTAAATTATAAATATTACTATATAAAATAAATTAATATAAAATATTATTTATATTTAAAAGCTTATAGTTATATTCTATATATTTAATAAAATATAATATATATTACTATAGATATTATAATTCTTAAACTATATATTATTTCTCTAGAGAGGCTTATAAAAAGATATAGAAAAAGAAAATAATATAGACTTTTTAATCTTAATCTAGAACTTTTATTAATATAATTTAAAAGAATTAAATCCTTCTAGTTTTCTAAGATAGTAAAAGTACTTATTAAAATTAGTAAAAGAAAATTTTAGCTATTATTAAACCTATTATTATTATACTTTATATTTATAATACTGTTTTTTTTTTATAATAGTTCTCTTTATTATACTTTATATTTCTACTTTAAGATAATAGATCTAAGCTAATTTTACTAATACTTAGTATCTAATATATTTAATAGCTTTATATTTAAATCTAAACTCTAGGATTTTATAATAATATTATTAATAAAGATCTTCTTAATTTTAATAATTTAAAACTAGCTAGATAAATTAAGTAGAAATTATCTCTTAACTAGAGAGAGAGAAAGTTAATATTAATAACTTTTTAAACTTTATAAGAAAAAGCTTTTTTACTAATTCTATAAATATAATATTCTACTAGTTTATTTCTTTATTTAATCTTTATTTTAAATAATTTACTAAGAGCTTTTTTTAATATACTTTATTTTAATATTAATATTAGATAGTTTAATATTAATCTTTAAATAATATTTAATACTTTTATATCTAATTCTACTATAAAGTTTTAGAATCTTAATTTAAAATTATTAAATACTTTATTAACTAAATAATAAAAACTTCTAAAATATAAAAGATTATTTATTAAGATTATAGATTAAACTATTCTATTAAAATATATTTCTATTTCTAAAAAGATAATTAAACTATTATCTAGAGTAATATTATTATCTAATTCTAATTTTATTTACTATTAGATAAATATTTATTTAGACTATAAATATAGATATTTATTCTTAGTTATCTCTAGAGCTAATACTTCTATTAAACTAAGATATTCTATATTATTCTCTAATAATAAAATCTATTTTAATAAAACTATTAAATAAAAGATTAATAAGAGATATAAACTTTAAATTATATAGAAATCTAATACTTATAGAAAAAAAATATATATATATATATCTCTGATTTTATTACTAAATACTATAAAACTTCTATTAAAAATACTAAATTAAGCTATTTCTATAATAGAAAGAACTATTTCTAGTTCTAATATATTAATATTATATACTCTAGATCTTAGCTAGCTTTTTAATTATATAGATATAAAACTAATTAATAAAAGATAAAAAAGTAATTAGATTAATTACTTTCTAATAAATATTAATTCTAATAATTTAGATAATAATTTAAAATACTTATTATTTATAATCTCTAAATATAGTAAAATAGTAAAAATAGAAATATAATAATCTACTAGAAATAATAAAAATATAATATTATAGCTAGATCTATTCTTAAATAATAAGATCTTTATTTATAATAGTATAAATAGTAATAATCTATTTTATTTAAGATAGAATTCTAAGAAAATATTTCTATATCTATTCTATTAATATATTTAGAATATATAATATTAAATTAAATAAGAATAAAAAAAAACTATATTTTTTTTAGATAATAAAAAAGATATTTTTATTAAACTAAAATAAAAAATTAGTTTAATATATTCTAATATAGAATATATATATATTTATATCTTTAGATATACTTAGAAGAGCTTATTAAAAAATAGCTTCTAGAGTAATATAGATATAATTAAGAATATTATTAAAAGCTAATACTTTATAGAAAATTATACTACTAAATAAGCTATTAAAACTAAAATTAAAAATAGACTTCTTAAAATAGATTTAATAAAGAGATATATTTGAAAATATAAATTAAATTAAAGCTATTTAATTAAAATAAGAAATATATAAATAAAAGAGCTAGATTTACTAAAGTTTATTTATAGCTATTATAGTATTATTATTAATAGCTTTATTAAGCTAAATAGTTTAAATATTACTAGAGTTACTAGTAAGCTATATATTAACTAGCTTATTCTTACTTATTCTAACTATTTTAATTTTAATTACTCTAGCTATTTTAAGTTTAATTAACTTAGCTATTTTAATCTTAATTACTTTAGCTTTAACTATTTTAGCTTTAGCTATTATAAGACTAAGAGATATATAAATAGATCTTAAAGCTTTATTAGACTTAATTCTAATAATTTTATTTTAAATCTTAGTTTTATTAAGATTTTAAACTATTTAACTAGTATTAAAAAGTTTATTAGTAACTTTAAAATTCTTAGTTTACTAAATATTCTTAATTTATAATCTATAGAGTAATTAAAAAAAATATAAAATTTAAATATAGATTTTAAAGTAAATATTTATTAGTTTTTTAAAAACCCTATAAAGAAATAAATAGAAAAAGATATAGATATTTTTAAATTAAAAAGTAAATATAGAAGAATTTTATAAATATAGAATAAATTAGAATATATATTAGAAGAAGTTAAACTAGTTCTATAATAAAGTTTACTAGAAAATTTAAATAAAGTATTAGAGAAAATAATACTATATTAATCTTTACTATATTATTTAGAAAGATTAATAAATACTCTAAATAAAATAATATTAAAAATTGCTTTACTATCTTTATATTATTTAGAATAAGCTCTAGATTTACTAAATCTATTATATATAGAAAAAACTTTATTAATTACTCTAAAGTAAATATTATTAGAAATAGTTTTACTATCTTTATACTATTTAGAATAAGCTCTAGACTTACTAAATCTATTATAAATAGTAGAAACTTTATTAATTATTTTAAACTAGATATATAATAGTTAGATAACTTATACTAAACAGGGTCTAGGGTAGATCAGGATTAAACTAATCAGAGTATTATTCTAAGTAGTATAATTAGATTATCTTAGGCTATATAATATAAGTTACTATTAATATATAAGTATTATAGAGTTAGTAATAATAGATATATAGATAATTATATTAATAACTATCTAAGAGAGTATTCTATATAGTAGAATAAATATATATATATACTAGGGGATTATTAATACTTAGTAATAATTTATTCTTCTAGATTATTAGGATTATTATAAGATCCTAATAATCTACTAGTAATTAGTTAGAAAAAGTAAGGTAATCTATATAACTCTAATATATAATAATATAATTTATAATAAGATAATATTAGAAATAATTTTATTATTTTTATACTATTTAGAATAAACTCTAGAATTTCTAAATCTAGTATATATAATACTAGATAGATAGTTTTATATTAATAATTTAGATAAATCTAATAATAGATAATCTCTATTTTTTAAAATTAAATTTAGCTTAAGAGATTTAATAATCTAAATACTAATTCTAATAATCTAAATAGTATAGAATATATAAAAGGAAAGTATTATTAATTACTAGTATAGAGATAGAGATCTATTAAATTCTTAATAAACTAATTAAGTAGTAAAGGGGACTAGAGCAAAAGCAGTAATAGTATACTTATCAAGCTCTAGTCTCGCCAGCAGTATACCTTTGAGGAATGAAAAGGTTCCTTCTTTCGCGCTCTCCCTTATACGCACGGGCCGCTGAACGATCCGTGCTCAGCAACTATACCAGATGCCTGCGCCTTGTTATTTATCACAATTTATTCACCACCATTCATACGCCACAAATACTTTACAGCAGCCAATTTTATTAGCCTCAATAACAAAAACAGCTACAAAGCTAAGAAAAATGATATATTTATTACTGCCTCCAAAGTATATATCCTTCGTTCCAGTCGGTTTATATGTTATTGGAGTGCCAAAGCTCGCAAATGAAGAATTAAAATCTTTTCAATATCGTGAAAGCTACCAACTAGTGATCTGATAGATATCGGATTTTATAATTGGGCTATTTATTTGTTGCCTTAGCAGCTATCATCACGGACAAGATGCTGTTTCCATCCTATTAAGAAACCAAATCCATCAGATATATGTTATCTTCTTACAGCTGTTCTTCCCTGAAGCCTTCTAAAAAAAGCACTGGCAAGTCCTAAAAGATTGTGTCAATATATACTTTTCTATAGTCTTTGCATAACTTACTGCCAGAGCCACCCGCCACAACTGCCCCCTTGGTAATGCTTGCCCTTGTTATTTGTGCATTCCTTGCACTGAGGTATATTAGCAACAGCATTCAAAAGGCAAACTAAACAATACTGACTCGATTATTGCAGAGGCCTCCACCGCCGGCTCCCTTGCAGCTGCCAGCGGCCCCACAATACTGAGCAGCTTGAGCAACGTGAGAGACGGCGTTAGATGCTTCGCCAGGCATAGCCATTGCGTAGCTGCCAACCGACATGCAGAGAACAAAAGCGGCGGAGGTGAAGCGCATATTGATTTGAGAACGAAGTAAGAAATTTCATGAAATTCAATTCATTTTAGGATAGATAAAATCTGATCTGGAACGCTGCGTTGTATTTGGCTTCCCTATCTTATATACCCTGGTAGGAGCGACATATGATAGGTGTATCCCTTTCCAATCCTTGCTGGATTTATTACATTCCGGACTATTCTCGTGTGTCTCAGCCATTCATGACAATATATATCAAAAGTCGCGCATCTCTGTTTCAAAGTGACTCCATCCTGATACACATCTCTGCAACTTTGACGTGTGTTTAAGCATCCATCATATGATCCGGGTAATGTTGTCGGAAGCTCTACGGTCTATTATCATCGGCAATAGCTTGCCGATGTCTTACCGCTGTCTTACAATGGTCCCATCAACTGCTGACCAGAATCAGTTTCATATGTAGTATACAGACGGCAAATGACCCCCGAGACTAAGGCAAGTACAGACCTCCATAGCCTCATAGAATGCGCTGATCCTGCCTCAGTCCAAACGCAGCCGCCCGAACTATCAACGCAGTTCAAAGATTGCCTCGAATCAAACGATATATCGAGAATGCTCCTCTGCAGCTCCCTCAATTCATGTTGACTGTAAAGGTAGCCTCCTGTGGATAGATATATATAGGCAGACACCAGAATCACATCTTTGCGGTGCCTATGCCAGTATCTCCTTGCCAATATTTCCAACACAACTCACCGCCAAAAGACCAAACCCTTGTATGTGATGTCTTGATTTCCGGCCCTATGTGACTGTGCGCAGCGTCTCAAACCGCAAAAGGCAAAAGACTGGACACACACAGACGCCACCAACCTCTGTAGTCACAAGGCAAGCGCCTTACTTCTCAAGGTCTTAAGTCGTTCCGAAAAGGCATTGGCTGACCCTGTAGGGGCCGATCTCCTGTTTAGCTGTAATAAGCAAAAAAGAAGCCAAGGTGCTTGCTGAATTCCGTCCTTAATGCCTGAAGGAACGTTAGTGCCTGAAGGAACGTTATGCCTTGAGGAACGAAAGGCTCTTCCTTCCACCCCCTCGAAAGCAACACCTGGAACACCGCCACCTGCGCCATATCTGAATAGCTATATTGAACACCTACAAGCTATAAGCCAGAATTAATAAGACCGGTTCTAATATAGCTGAGCATCAGGTACTAATTAAATATTTAACTAAGTAAATATTCTCTCCCCTCCTTCTTATAATTACTCTTAGTTCCTTAGTAGATATAGTATAATAATCTCTCTAAAATACCTCTTAGGATATCAGTATCTCTCTTCTAGCTAGTCTATACCTTCTATATTTTACTATATCTTTATATAAGTATAAGCAATTACCAGAGAGCAGTATATAGTTACTCCAGCTTCTACTATATTCAGATAAGTATCTAGGAATAAAATATCAGCTCTTTATCTATACTCTATTAAACTCAGAAAGTATATATCCTTATAATACCCTATTATATATATAGAGACCTGAGAAAAATCTATAGTCTATCTATATAGATAATTATAAATATTCTATTAGGATAAACTTTTATATAGTACTATTATATCTTTAAGATTACTTTATAGAGTATATTATATAGATTAATACTATTTATATTAACTAAGAAAATATATATAAAAAGAGATAGTAGGTTTAGTCTATAGCTAAGATCTATACTAGAGTAAATTATATAATTATTTAGCTTAGAAAGATAATAGATAAGAGCTATTAAGTACTTAAAGTAATATAAATAGCTATTAAAAAGCAATTTATAAATTCTATAAATTCTATATCTAATAAAATAAGCTAGTAAGTAATCTATATCTTATTATATTAACTATAGTTTTAATATATCTAGATAAGAAAATAGATATTAAGTTATATAAGTAGAAGTTATTAATAACTTTAATTAGATTCTTTAGAAAGTTACTATAGCTTAATATATTCTGATTAAGTATAGCTATATAGAAATTAATAGATATATATTCTGTTTAAACCTAAGTATAGTAAATCTATTTTATAAAGTAAACTAGAATCTTTAAAATATAATCCCTTCTATAGTCTATCTAATAAGAGATATAGTTTTCCAATCTTAATATAAAAACTATAAAATAAATTAGTTAGATAGGTTTTTCTCTAGATATATATTCTCTAAGTAAGCTAATAGATATATACTAAAATCTATAAGGCTATTAACTCTCTTAATAAGATATATACCCTACTTAGTATAAGCTTAAATAATTATAATAATCTTAATATAATAGAGTTATTATCTAACTATAAGATATTATAAAAAGAAGTTTTTTAGAAACTTATTAAATTCTCTACTTCTAATTAGATATCTATAGATACTTAGAATAATAAAAAAGTAGTAGTAATTAAGAGTAAGAGCTATATTCTTAGTAAAGTATCTTTAGTTAAAAGATATACTACTTAGAATAAAATATAAAGAATAGATATTAGTTAGAAGAGATATTTTAATTTAGAAGGGAAATAGAGCTCTTACTTTACTTTTCTAATCTTAGTAAAATCTATTTAGTTAGAAAATATTATTTATTTTATATAAGAAGTATTTACTATATAAACTATATTTAGTTTTTATTAATATATAATAACTTTATAATTAATTATTATAATTTTCTTTAAATAATCTATAATAATATTAGATTAATTAATTTATTATATTCTAAATACTATTTTATTAATTTTATTTAATTTAACTTTTTATTCTAATAAACTTTTTAATAATTTAATTTAATTTAATTTTTTTTTACTTATCTAAATATAAATAATCTTTACTAATATTAAATTTTAAAAGCTATCTATATCTAGATTAATTCTATATAATATATAATATATTAAAACTAGAAACTATATCTTAGATTATTATAATTATTAAGTATTTAGAGATTATTATCTAGCTCTTTCTTTTTAAATATTTTATATAAAATAGAATTTATTATTTATTTCTTATAAGCTTTATAATATAGTATTAGATCTAATAGCTATAACTACTAGGTTTATATAGTTAAGAGTAGCTTTATAATTATAAAAAATCTAATAATAGAGTATAAACTTAATTATTTTATATTATTAGTAAAAATATAAAGATTCTTATTAATTATTACTATTATATAGTTAAGAATCTAGTTATTTATAATAACTAGATTCTAGCTATAAGAAATAATAATATTAGAGATATTTATTATTATTATAAAAAGAGATAATTAGTAATTAGTAATAATAAGCTTAGAGAGATATTATAGTTAAACTAATTAGAGTATTATTCTAAATAGTATAATTAGATTATCTTAGTATTATATAAGTTACTACTAATATATAAATACTAAAGAGCTAGTTTTAATAAAAGTAATAGTAATTATATTAATAATTATTTAAAAGAGTATTTCTAACTAAGAAAAATATATATATATATACTAAGATAATATATTTAATATAGAATATATTATTAGTAACTAGTAAATAATATAGTTAATATATAGAATATTAATTATATTATATTCTATATTATAATTAGTAAATAACTATATTAGATTATCTTAGTATTATAAATAAAGACCTCTATAATAGATTATATAGTTATATATACCCTACTATCTAAAGAATAGAAGTAATAGAAATATTATACTTCTATTATAGAATAAAAATAGATTACTAGGAATAATATACTCCTTATACTCTATAACTATTATATATATATATTTATTTCTTAGATAGAAATACTTCTTTAGATAGTTATTAATATAATTATCTATATATCTATTATTACTAGCTCTATAATATTTATATATTAATAATAACTTATATTATATAGCTTAAAATAATCTAATTATACTATTTAGAATAATACTCTAATTAGTTTAATCTTAATCTACTTTAAATCTTATTTAGTATAAGTTATCTAACTATTATATATTAATAATTCTTATTTAGTTAATTATCTTATCTTAATTACTATATAATAATAAAGAAGATATTATAATTACTATAGTTCTACTAGCTTAGTAGTAGTATTCTATTATTAATAATCTACTTACTCTAAATACTAATAATACTATAAAGAAAAATAATAGTAATAGTAATAGTAGTAAAGATAATAATTATACTTAGATTAAACTCTTAGAAGAATAAGTTCTATAACTCTAGAGATATCTTATAATTATATAGTAGGAATTAGCTAATATAACTAATCTTATAGCTTAATAAGTAGCTTAGAATATTAATCTCTAAGTTTAGATCTAAACTATAGCTTAAGAAAAAGAGCTAGAAGTATTACTTAAGTTATTATTACTTAAGATATTTAATAGAACTTAAAATAAATTTTAAAACTTTATAATTTAATTTTAAATATACTTTAATTACTTTTCTATTACTCTTAATAGTAATAATTAATAAGTTATATATATCTATTTATAATTTAAAAGAGCTATACTTAATTAGTTTAAATTTATTATAAGGAAATATCTTAATAGTTAAAAAAGCTAATAAATTATTAATATTATAATAAGTTTTAATTACTTTATAGAGATTCTCTAATAAATCTTTAGAATCTAAAATAAAAGATATAAGATAGAATATAAAATTAATAAACTCTCTTAGATAGAATTTATCTCTATCTTTAGTAGTAAATATCTCTAGCTCTTAATAAAAACTAAATAGAATTAGGAATATATTATATTATACTACTTTAATAGACTAAAGAAAGAAGTTTAAAAGGAACTCTATAAAGAAAATAGACTAGTAAGTATTTATAAATATATAATTATAGTTATAAAAATTAATAATTAATAGTATTACTAGTAAACCTATAGTAAAAAAATAATATATTATATTAATACTAATTAATTATAATAGTAATAATAAACTATAGTTTCTAAGATATATATAGATCCTATAGAGCTAGAAGCTATAGAAAAATATAAGTATTATAACTATAATAAAATTAGATATATTTTATTCTAATATTTAAAACTAAAGAGATAGAAAAA